TTCACCATTACCTCAGCTACTCTTCCAGTTTGAAATATTAATTGTTCCTTCAATATGACACATACATCTACTTTTAATATTTCACCTGTGTTTTGCAGGCTGTTCGAGGATATGACAATTACGGTGGTCCATCTCGAGGATTTCCAGGCCGTCAGTTTGTAACATTCGTTTTTCAGACAAAGTTGTTGACATGATCGTTATTCAGGTGGTGGAATGCGCCCTGTTCCTTCGGGTTATCATGGGGATTATGGAGACTGTGAACCATCGCCCCATTATCCTCCTGTCGGTGGAACTGTAGGATAATTATATTCGTATCATATTGCCTTTTGTTTGAATGAGAATCCTTTAACAGTTTAAGCAACTTATTGTTCAGGGCTGTGTACTAATGATCTATGGTATTGATCATGAAAAGCTGAATTGCGAGAAGTTGTTCAATCTGTTATGTCAATATGGAAATGTCCTCAGGGTAGGTATTTTTGAGTGCGCTCTTCTCCTCTTAATTAAAATATATTTACTTGCAGATTCGTTTTATGGCTACAAAGAAAGATACGGTGATGGCTGAACTTGGAACTCCAACAGCGGTGCTTTCATTGATTATACCCCATTCTAATAGGTTTGATCCTAACATTCCGTTGAAATGCTGATTGATTTCAGGTCGGGAACGCCATAAAGTATCTGCAAGGAATCACATTATTTGGGCTCACACTGCAATTGAAGCCTAAGCATTCAGGCTGCCGTGCGAGACGTGACGTAAGTTGATGTATGACCGTTCTCAACGCTGAATATTCAAGTCTAGCAGATTTGTTGGATTGAATAAGCCGCGAGTAGCAGGCTTTTGAAGTGTCGCGTTTCTTTTACGCATTAATCGATTGCAAGGTTTTGCACGGAGATCGAAATCATGGTGCATCACGGGTGATTGGTATTGGGTGACTTTTCTATCCAGAGTCCCAACTTTAAGGGGATACATCATTCAATAATTGAAATTTCAGAGACCCATTTGATCTCCCAGATGGATCCCCATCATTCCGCGATTACTCCATGTCCGCTCTACAGCGTTTTTCAACACCGGATGCAGCTGCACGAAATCGACTCATATACCCCACAAAAGTGTTACATTGGTATAACGCTCCTGTAAATATGGATGAAGAAAAATTAGGCAGGCGAGTGTGTTCATTCTTGACGAGTTTTTAAAGTACTTGCATTCGTCCATGTTTTCCAGTTGTATCAACTTTTCTGCTTAGGTGTTTGCTGAGCGAGAAGCTCCAGAGCTTAAATCAGTAACAGTATTCGTTGGACGAAGTGATAGGTCATCGTCGGGGATCGTTGAATTGGAGAGTATTGAGAAGGCCAATGAAGCTCTTGCTCTGGTCAACCACACTCCTGTTGTGAGCCCACTTGGAAAGGTGACAATTAAATTTTGGAAGGCATTTCGTATTGACATCTAGTATATTTCGTGTTCAAAGGTCACATTCGCGTTCTCACGTTTCTTTTATTGTTATGTTTTCGACTCTTATTTTTATCATATTATTCAATTTTTATGTTAATGCTTAGTTTTGATTGGTAAAGAATTCTCAGTATTGCCAACCATTTTTCCAGACTCCGTATATTGTGAAGCTGGCTTACGCTACACCTTCGCGGCGACACGGTGACTCATCGGAGGAGGTCGGAGGAGGTGAAGGTGGTGGCGGTGGACCACCACGTGGAGGTCCTCGAGGGGGATTCCGGGGAAGTAGACGGTTTGTTGGAATATTAATACGCTTCAATAATGCAAGGTGTCGGTTTGTTGTGATTTCATGCTTTGATAAAAGATTTTTCGTTCGACTTTCACATGTGGAAGTGACTTTATCACAAAACAGCCACAACAACAGTTCACATGTGACAATCACACTAAAGCATTACATTACAACAAACATTCAAACCATATATACCTTTGATAAATTACAATTTACAGTACACATTTTCTGTTGAGTCTTTGAATGTGTTGTGCATTGTCACTTCACATTACTTGTTCATCACAAACAAGTACATTGCTCACAGAAGACATTGAATGTACACAGTTCTGTTTTTCGGATTGCAGTATGCCAACTAGAAGCTGTTTGAGTGAGGTGCAAGGCAATCGTCAACGTCCAAAATTAGGTTCGGAATAGAGCTGAAGTTGGGCCAAATTCAGCTCGCCGTGATGCTATAGCTCCTACCCTAGGTCACTTGTAGTTTAGGCTTTTTTCGGAGATGCCGTTTGTGTTTTTGGGTCGATAAAGATATGTGGTCAAAGTAGCGGAGGCTTAAGGGTGGGGAGGGTGCTTGAAGCCCAGTAGCCTAATATAGTGTCGCTACGTATCGCTTCCTATTCTACCAGCAAGGGATGGGAGGGCTGAGTGCGCGGTAGATCGTTACCGTGTAGTTGTCATAAACGGTCCATTGGTCTCCGATTTATCCGAAGTCCTTTGCCCTCGCTTTCTCTGTCAGTGGTTACCATGCCTTTTACCAAGATGCTCTGATCCTGGCCTAATTCTGGACTGTTGTTGGTTTTGCCTTGAGGCGCTCAAAGAGACAACTTTGAAAAGCATACTGTGACCGAAAAATAACCAATACACATTATAGCAGAGCAGATTTGTATTTTAGCGGTATGGGAGGTGGTTACCGGGGAGGGCGAGGTGCTCATCGAGACTATTGACACAGCACACGCAACACGTTGACGGTAACGAAGAGAAAAGTGTTCGTCTGATGGTCATCTACCGTAGCAGTATTTACTGTTTGTTTTTGTTTACACTCGACAACACATAGAAACAGCCGGAGTAGTTGATCTTGATGTCTTCATTTGTGTATAGCTGCGTTGTGTCGTGAGTATACAGTGATTTTCGAATTAGCTGTCATTCTAATGTGAGGTTCTTGTTTGTTTTGGTATAGCGTTCCTTTGATCTTTATTTCATTTCTTGTTAATAAATGTTTGGTTTACTCCCTCTTGGTCTTCCTACTCGAGTCTTCAGATGGTTTATTGCCTATATTTGGTGAATTTCCCTTAGTGCCCTCATTCAACCCAAGTGATCTCAACAGTTTCCCTACTCTAACAAAATATTTCTAAGAATGGAGCAAGAAGAGAGCGAAGCGGCTCATCGCCAAGAAGAGATCAAGTGTGAGTGCCCAGAAAATAGGAGAACTTCAATCTAGAGATTCACTAAAGAAGTCGTGAAGTTCATTAGAAGAACTTCCCATTATTCATACTGTCGTCGTGAAACTGCTTCCGTCTGAAACTCCAGCAATCTAATTGTCATTCGCTTTTTATGGTTCAGAACGATTCCACAATGGATTCACCGCTCGTAGATAAGGAAGGCTTTCCTTTCAGTCACATAGATGTGTATAGTGTTCGTCAGGCTCGCCACAGATATCATGTTGTTTGGAGGCCGGTAACGTAATTTTTCTATATTTGATTGAAAGAATTAATGGGCCAAAAGGCGCCCCACCGGACCTTAGGAATGGACCGCCTAGAATACTATATCATGCGAACCATCAGAACAAGAAAACTGTCTTCATTTCTCTAAGCGTCCCGCGGCTACAGAGATTAGTTAGCAGTTAGTATAACTTTTTCGGAGCAGTTTCGCGGATTGAGAATTTCGGAAATCTCTATATGATCTGGGAAACTTGAAAATATCTAACTTAAAAAAAAACTCAAATTTTTCGTAAAACCTCCCCAAAGGTCTTTGTGTTGTTCATAGGAGATCTATTCCAATTAGGGGAGGGCACCATTAATGCAGTTTCTCGGCGCACTAGTGTGACTCGAACGTTGCAGCCTGTTTCACGCATGGTCAAGTGGACTGCGCTACACCCCCTACCCATGCAGGACTGGCTACAAGTACCCTGGCTCGGGCCGTCACCCTACTTTTTCTGGGAGAACTGCCCATGCATGAAGCCCTCGCTAACTGAATAGAATTTCGTATATTAAGTTCTGCTACTTACGGTTGTGTAGGAGTAGAAACACTTGGCTAACGTTTCGGGTAATCAACTTTTCTTTAGAAAAAGCTTTCAAAGTCCATCGTGAAGGCTGAAATAATGATATCACATTGAGTTGGCGATCAGAAATCAGAATTCGCCTTAGCTCTTTCCGTGTCTACTACGACACAAGATCGCCTCTTCTTTCTTACTTCGATATTAGCACGGTTACAGCGATTCATTGGTTTATTTTACCTTTAGCGAACTCGGAGGGGCTGATGAGCGGCATGTGCAATGTGGCCATCATGTACTGTTCCCTTCAAAAATGAGACGTGAGTCCAAGAGTTGTCAAACTATGTAGATCCCTCCATAGTGCTAGCCAGTTTGGTAGCTGATACTTGCTTGCATTGACCAGCTACACCACTGGTTCGACAAAAGGAGTCTTTTCGGAAGCCGTTTTTTTCGACATGATTTGCTAGAATGAAGTGTGAAAGGCCTCACAACAGGCTCAGTGCATTTGTCGCTTCGAACATCTTTCTATTCAAAAAACACCAGTCGGCCGGCAGGATAGTGTCCAAAGGTCTCGATTGCTGTCGTGAAGTCAGAATTTTTGCCCAACATTATGTTTGTGCCTCCAAACTGCCAGTCAAATTACGGATGGTTATTAATACCCACTCTTCGAGATCGACGCATATGGCTTGCTTATTGGAATGCACCTGGCTTAACTAAACGATGGCCCGTTTAACATTTTCTGAATCTTCTAAGAGATGCCTGCAGCTTGTGGGAGACGCGCTGGATATTTGCTCCTAACAGTTTTGTATGATCGCAGTTAGAGTGAATTAGCTGAGTTGCAGGGGAAATGCGCTATTGGGTTTCGTGTTCCATCGTGTTAGACTATACAGAACAGGGCATGTAAATACATTTTACGAAAAAGGCCCTAGGAGCTATTCTCAACTAAGCTCTTCCTTATAAGTTTGGATTGGCAAACAAAGAATCAACAGTACCTACCGAACTAGTCGGAACCAGTTACCAAGGAACTTGTGATGTTCCGGTCCCTTGGTGGTGTGGGTGTGGCATGTGGCTTCATTCTGCAACTTTATTCAGCTACCAAAAGCTTTTAAGGAATGACCGTAAAGCTCTAACAGAAGAAATAGAAAAAGCCATCGAGCGGTCACATGCAGAGGATCGAGTACGAAAACCAAGATCAGAATCGGACTCTGAAGAAGCGGATGCTGAGAAGGATCCTTCCGGCAGTAACGATGTTGCTAAAAAGGTAGTTTTAATCTGTCATATTTTGTAAACTTTGCATCAAGTGGGCTTATCTATAAATGTCCCATGCTTCAGCCTGATCCTCCCCTTGTTCATCGAACCTCGAATAAGCCTTTCATAAAAGTGAGTTCGTGAATGTTCGATTAAGATTTCTCTAATCGGCACCGGTCTAAACTATCTTTTTTCAGGTCACAACGGTTATTCCCAACTCACCCGCTGCCGAGGGAGGTCTGAGAGCCGATGATATGATTATCCAATATGGAGATTTGCATGCTGGAAATTTCAAGGAAATGAAGGAAGTCTCCACCACAACAGCAAAACTTGAAGGGGTGATTTTGATTTTTGTTATTACTTTAGAATAGAATTGGCCAGTGAGCTACTGAATTCGGCTATTCAGTCTTGTGATGCCAGTAGACGGCTTTTTATTCCATTCATATTTCAGCAGAAGTTGAGAGTAACAGTTCTGCGAAATGGGAGACCTGTCCGTCTTGAGATCTTTCCCAAGCGCTGGTCAGGAAATGGTATTCTGGGTTGTGGTATAGTTCCAACGACAACTTCTGATGTTATCTAACAATGAGTGTATTCTATCAGATGAACGATCATTTTTATCTTTTATCCTTTATTCTATCGAATGATTTTTTTCAGAATATTATGTGTAAGTGTTGTTATCAAAGGGTTTGTCGTTTTTCGCTGTGATTTTTCAAGAACTGGCCAATGTTTGGCAAAAAATGTAACTCATTTTCTCTGGTGTTTTTTATTACCGGTATTTGTACTTGTTTTAGAATGCTTACTCGGTTGTTTCAACAGTTTCACAGAGTGCTTTATTCATTTGGAAATGTTATAAAGATTTAAATTATTTGATTAGCTTGGAGCAAAAGGTGCCGGAAAATCCAATACTGTACATCTAACATAATGTTAATGTAGTAATTATATGGAAATGAATAGTATTGGTTAGATAAGAACTTGCAATGGCGTAACTTACAATTTTTCTTAAGTGGAAGATAGACATCGAGAGAAAATGCACAGCCTTCTCAGGAAATACGCGAAACGAATGAGAACGGGGGGCCTGTTACACATTTTAAGGCTATGGTGGAGCGCTTCACTAGAATACAGTGGAGCTGCCGCTACAAAACACGAAATCGTCGTCATACTTTTTCGTTCTCAGGGACATTGAGTATTGAATTGACGAAGATAT